TTTTTCAGCTTGTGTTAGGAGTGTCTGTAAGGCCACAGATGAGAGCATCTGTCACTTCATTCTTCTGGATCTTAAATTTCCCACTGACACTATAAGCTGGGATATCTAATATGATACACATATCAACATGACTTCAATATCATCCTTGACTTTTTTCTTTTTCTTTTTCTTTTTTTGTTTTTTAAACCGCTGTTTCATTAAATCCACAAAGCTAAAGCTAAAGTAAAACTTCTCTAGCTCAAATATATGCACTGTTAGGAGATATTAGTAGACCCAAAAATTCACAGCAAAGGTAGGAGCTTGAAGGAATGTTTTGGAGACATGTTAGTTAAAATATCTAACATTTAAGTATTAGTAGAAGTTAAAAGAACAGATTAACTTGAAAAGTGGATTTTTTACAAGTTGACTTCACCATGGGAATAAGGATAAGGAAAGAAGGGTCAAAAACTTGAAAAGAGTTTGTCAAAGTTAGATGCCAGAAGTATGCCATGGCCAAAAAAAAAAAAAAAAAAAAGTTAAAATTGTTACATAGAAACAATGACCTATGGCCTAGTTTTAAGAAAAGCAGCAATTCACTGAAGTTTTGTTTTTGTTTTTAAATTAGGCTCAAACCAGGGCCATTGTATGGTCAGGGACTGTGGTATACCTCAGGCTTTTCAACTTTTGTTAGTCCATCAAAATCATGCAGAAGCTGGGCAAATAAAATATAAGTAATTCTATTTTGCAAGTTTAAAAACATTCTGGGTAGCATGACATGACAATACACAAACCAGCACAAGGTTAAAATACAGGCCCAAAGAATTCACATAGGCTTTGCTCCGTTGGGCTCTGGGAACTTTAGCAAATTATTTGCCTCTCTAGGTCAAGGTTGGCTGATTAAGGTCAGGATTATTGAACCAATTATCATATATGATGTTAACTTTACAAAGAAAACTGTTATAATGTCACATTAAGTATGAAAAAATTAAAAGAAAAGAATAAAAAAATAGATATATGGTATAAATGACTAAGCATAACCCTATCTTATCACCACAATGCTAAATAAAAACAGTTCAAAACATAAGGCCAGCTTCTCAGCTATTGGTGTCATATTTGACTATGAAAGACAGGATCTAAATATTATCCTTTTGTGGCTGCTGTTTGCTCATCTGGAACAAAGTGGGAAAAAATCAGTGTCCTCAAAGGATTGTTAAGATAAGTGACCTATCAACATGCTTGCCAAGTGCTTCTTTAAACAGAAATTGCTCCATAAAATCCCAGTGATGATCCAATGGTCTGGAACAATCCAAGTTCAATGCTCTGGCCCACGTCCTTTTGTCATCAGGGAAGTAAATATTCTGAGCACTTTTGACCTCTGAGAAGTCATTTAGTATTTTAAGTACTAGAATGGTAGAAAAAGGGAAGGGCAGCTTTAATAGATTCATTCTCTTTCATATCTTATTTAGGAGTCTTTTATGGAAAATTATATATATATATATATATTCTGAAATGGTAAAACAGAATCCAGATGTCAGTATCAAATGATAAATAAAAAACTAATTGACAATAATTAATAAATCAAAATCCACACTAATTTTAGTGAAAAGAGAAGTAACAACCAATTCTCAATGCATCTCTCTCTGATAAAATGAAAATTCACCTAATTAATTAGACAAATACTTTAAGATTCTTCTAAGGTGACTTTCAGAAGCTGAGTATCCCTGTCAGGGTGCAGTGATGCACACCTGTAATCCCAGCAGCTTGGGAGGCTGAGGTAGGAGGAGGATCATGAGTTCAAAGCTAGCCTCAGCAACTTAGCAAGGCCCTAAGCCCTAATCAACTCAGTGAGACCAAAAAGGGCTGGGGATATGGTTTAGTGGTTAAGTGGTCCTGAGTTCAATCCCTGGTGCCCAAAACAACAACAACAAAAAAAAAAAAAACATGGGCTCATGAGTGGGTGGCCTGGGACAGTCTGCTGGCTAACAACAGAGCAGTGAAACTTCCCAAGGAGACCCCTGATATATAAGTCTGTATTAGCTCAGCTGAAGTGTGCACTTTGGTTCTAGCTTCCATCCTGAAATGTCTTTTAGAAAGAAGAAAGGTGTCTCCTCTCCTAACCTCCAGGGAGAAATGCCCAACAATGTGTACTAGGGCTGGCCAAATCAACTCACAGCTTCCCAGGAACCAGGAGTGGGAGTGGGTGGTAGAAGGAATAAGATTAGGCAGGGGTCTTAAACTACCTTGCTTCCTAAGACAAACTTCCTTAGAATTGGGCCCAACCTGCAATAGGAATAGCTGAAGATTCCAAAACAACTCTAAACACTGGACAAAAGGGACCCATTGTTGAGGAAAGAGTGTTAATGCATTACCTATAAATTTCACAAGGCCAGTAAATGCCACCTGGAAATTTCTGAACAATTATTTGTTAAATCAGTTCACAGCCTATGTCCTTTTATATCGCAAAACACCATTCCAGTGTTTCTTGATTTCCCTGAGGGAATCCCTGGTATTAGAATCATTTAGGTGTAATTGTTGAAAATTCAGATTCCTAAGCACCACCCTAGACCCCAGAATTGAATCCCTAGGACTAGAGTCCATCCTAAAAACTAAATTTCCAAGGAGCAACCCAGTTGATTTGGACGGTTCGTATTAAGGCAGGAGAATTACTGTATCTATATAGCTCTTAGAAATTTAGACATGCAAATATTAGGGATTTGTATATTTGCCCCAAAATGTTTATATATACCATAGAAGTGAAGACAATACTTCTTGTGGTGAGTTCCCAAAACCATTCTAGTTTATTCTGCCCACATATAATGAAAACCATTATTAAAATGTAAATATGAGCATAAAATTATTGTGAAAATATCAACTATGCTTTTAAAAAATACTGCCTTTATTGTCACCCAAATGCTATTAAAGGAATTTATAGTTTTAAAAAATATCAGTCATTTGGCTTCAGGAACTTATTAAGCTGCTGTACTCCTCCCATACCCTTTTAGTCATCAGAATTTTTGTGATAAAGCCTTTTTATTATTTTTAAACTATAAATTGTGAAACATTGCTACTAGTGTTTAGGCTGAATATGAATTTATGTCCAAGTTATAAATTCCTTAAAAGCATGTTTCATTAAAATTACTAAGACAGTCTTAACTCCAGTCTCTGCAATAAAGCTCTATTTATTTATATTAAAGTGTCTTTTTGTGGGGTACAAATAATTCAGTTTCAATGCATTCTCTTAAGAAAAAGAAAACAGTTTCTGATATACACACTACTGCAAAGCAGTAAACCAGTGTTGCATGGTGATGTGACAAGCACCACATTCCTTTTTCTAGAGGGATTATTTTTTCTCCATTAAGCTCTCCCTCCCTGAAATCATGGCTACAATTATTTCACAAAATACAATTTGTGACTTCTAGAGACAATATTCCCTTTTTTCCTTTCTCCCTCACTAAAACTGCAAGTTCAGGACAAACAATGAATGAAAATAGAACTTGAGAGGCAGGCTTTGTTTGTAGCGCGTTAGTTCTGCTAAAGGGTTGCCCCCTATTCACCCTCCACTCCAGTTCTCTGACTCAAGTATACACATTATGTTTTAACAGATGGGAAGGCTGGCGGCTGCTGGGCTGTAAAACAGGAAGGCGGAATCTGCACCTAGTGGTATTTAACTGAATGCTCGTAAAGTTCATGGACATAACACTGACCCAGACTAGGCAGATGCAGACATGCTTACACATATACACTCACCATACACTCCACAGCTCAAAGGGCTCATCTCTGTGACCCAGGGAAAGTTCAAGGCTGTTTCCCCTTCATATATTTTTACCTCATCTACCTATCAATTTCACACATACATATACATACGAGTATGTGTATATGTATGTATATATATGTATATATATGTGTGTGAATACATATATATGTACATCCACATATGCATACATACATACACACATATAACTATGTATGTCAACATTTTATGTATTTTTCAAAGATCTATTCCCAAATTCTGGACCCAAGTCTCTTTCTAGTACTCTCAATAAGCTCTCATTCATTTTAAATAAGAATGAGAAGAAAATATTGTACTGGATACTATTTAGTAAACACATAACATAAACTTCATGTATGTAATTGCCCTCAGATAAACAAGCTGCATTAAAAGACAAAAAGGAAATCTAATCCAGACCGAGTCACAAAGTGTCAGGTTTAACCTTGACTCCTCTGTTGTCAGTTCTTGCCACAACTTCATCCCTTAAACACACAGGTGCTCAAACAAACGCCACGGGACCAGCTGGCGGTCCCTTTCGCAGTCTTGCCTTGGTCTCTCCCGGGCTGAGGCAGTGTTAGACACAGCAGCTCCCCCACCCCCACCCCGCTCCTAATTAAGTCCCTCAGACACATCTTGCGGGTAGATGTCTCGGAGGTTGGAGCCCCTCAAGAGGGGAGCGGATTCAACTGCTGATAGGAAGTAATTACTTTACAAAGTTTAACGTCCAGCAGAGCTGTCAATTCCTTTCCATCTGCAAAGCACTGAAGCCCCCGCTGTGGTGCCCACCCGGCTGGCCAATTTCTGGCGGCTGAAGACCCACCCAGAACACGAACGCTCGCTCAGCCCACGGGTTCAGATGCCGACGCCGGGTTACCGCACCGCACCGGCTGGGACGCCGGTTAATGTTTGAGGCACCCGTCCGCACGTCATCTAGGAACTGCTGTCCGCACACCGGAGGGCACGGTAGCCGACCCCCTGCGCGATGTCGCCGCCGCAGAGGGACAGGGGACGCGTCCGGACCTAATAATGGCAATTACGCCAAGTTGGTGCGTACACCGAATCGCGTTCGGGGCCGAGTTGGGATGCTTTGAAAACAAGTTCGGGAGTGGGCATATTGGCACTGAGTAAATTTCGCCCATCTGACCTCCCACAGCGGCCACGCTCTGACTGACCGACAGACTAACGCCAGGAAGCGTCCGGTCTCTCGGTTCGCCGGCCGCGGAACGGCGCTGAGAGGAGCCGCGCCACTCACCCTCCTTGCCGAGTCCCGATCACAGACCGACGCCCCTTCTGCAGGTTCTCAGTTCCAAGTTGCCCCGAACCGGTTGTTTCCCACGCCCCGGCGGGCCAGGACACACTGAATCTGACCCGCACCTCGAAGGGAGCACCGCAAGCCAGGCGGCCGCCCCGGCTCAGCAGTCTCCGGAGCGCGCTGACAATTCGCGGACCTGATCAGCGAATGAGGCGGAACGCCGGGCTGAGCAGATCAGGCTCCGGAGGGAGGCGGGACCGGACGGTAAGGGGGGCGGAGCCAGACCCGGGCCGGCCTCGAGGGGCGGGGCGTCAATCAACCCGTGACTGATGGAGCCGACAGCCAATCGTGGTGGCGCCAGCACCTTCGACGACCGCGGGCTGTGCTTAGCACCGGTTCCCGCCCCGCAGACACTATCCAATCGCGTGCGGCCAAGGACTGGCTCGGGGTATTCTCTGGCGGCGGCGAAGTTGGCTACTGCAAAGTGTGGTGGCTGCTGGCGGGTTTTGCATGGCTTGCTGCAGTGGGACCTGGACGCTTCAGGAGGGAGGCGGCGGCCCCTGAAGCCCCCTAGCCGAGAGAGGTCGGGAGGCCCCAGAGCCATCACGTGTCGGCGTACTGTGGGGCTAGAAGCCCAACCGCAGCGCAGGCAGAGACCCGGTTGACTACGCTTGTATCTGGAACCTGCCAGAGGCGCGGAACGTGGCTGCTCCAAAGGAGCCCCCGCCGTCGGAGGAAGCAGAGGACCCAAAGAAGGTGAGGCCCAGGACCCAGCCACCAGTGGAAGACTGGGCCAGAGACTGAGAGCCCCGGACTCCCTGGAAAACGTCCTGATCTTGATCTAAAGATTATCATCACCGAAACAAAACACGGGCTCCAGAAACCTCACGAAAAGTTCAGTACAGGCCCCCCTCCTCACTCTTGCCCTCCACACCACTGTCTTAGGAAACCTTACAGGTGCCTAGGTCCCTTCTTCCCTACACATGACGTCCGGGGCACTAGCTCAGAGCCGTGACCAGGAGTAGGCACCAGTGCTGGAAGGCGCCAGAATCTGCAAGACCCTCCCCCTCTCAGGCGGGCTGACCTTCAGAGTAGCATCCTCAGGGGTGGCTTCTGTGACTGTCTTCTGGGTCTACCAGGATTCTCGAGGGACCAAGATCATCCATCTTTGTGGTCAGGAAGCTGCTGAGGAGCCATATCTGTCCCACTATGTGTTTCCACCTCCCAGGCTGGGAGGGAGACATGGAGCCATCTCAGAAATATCAATAAGAGGGCATCAGTAGCCTGAGCTATCCGGATCACTTATCGCAGAACAGCTCTGGAATATGGCTTTGTGGATTTAGCCCACCTAGCTGTCCGGGTCACTGCTGCTTCTCATTTTAAGCCCTCATCCTGGGTATAACACACACATACACGTGCAAATGTATTATCAAAAGCAGAGGGTTGGGTGCTCTTACTTTCCATCTAAGGCCTATAATGTAAGTGAGCCCTAGACTGCTCCAGGTGGGAGGAGCCTCTGCCTAAAACTGCACCTGCCATAGATAGGCACCCAACCCATGTTAGTAGGAATATAGGAATGCAAGACAAGAAAGAGACCAAACTTCCTAGCACCCTGACACCTGCAGAGACAACCCCCCACCCCTTCCCCATCCTTTTGCTTCTAGCTCAAGCCCTTGAGAGCATTGTCTCTCTTGAATTCCATAAGTCCTTTAGAATTTAGTCTCTTAGTGTAAGGAACTATTAATATGTGAGGGAGCCTCAGGAATTATTTTAATGGCCATCCATAAGGTCCTGCATCACAGCTGACCTCTCACAAGAAGGTTCTAATGAGGTCACTAGGGAAAAGAAAGGCAAAGGACTGGCCTGTGACTGGAAAGCAGATGGCCCTGTGGTAGGGAAGGCTGCAGCTCTTTGATGAGCTCTCTGCTGGGTTGAGTTTCAATGAGTCTCCTCAGATCCCCTTCTCAGTGGGGGAAGGTTCATAGGTAGGCTATCAAAAGGGCAAGAATAGGGCCTGGACAGTACTTAGCAGCCCTAAAAAAATTGGTAAGTGATGCCTAAATGGTACATATTTAAACCCCTACTTGCCTAGTGAACAGGAGGTCTGGTACAGATGAGGAAGACCATCCTTATTAATTTCTAGGGATTACTCAGTATGCTGCTGCATGACTGAGGAGAATGACCCTTGTCCACAAAGAATTAGATGTAGACCACATGAATGAAATACACATTAAGTATCTGCCAACGTTGGGATGAGTGGGGGGTGTGGTAACAGGGCTGGAGGTGCCAGACAGAACAAGGGAAGGCTTAGGAGAAGATGTTACTTCCTATCCTGGTTCTAGCAGTATGTTCGCTGTTCATCACTGTGACAAAATTTTATCTGGGAAAATCAACTTTAAGGAAGAAAGGTTTATTTTGGCTTGCACCTTCAGAGGTTTCAGTCCATTATTACTTGACCTCTTTTGGTCAGTAGCAGCAGAGTACTTCATGGTGGGAGCATGGGATAGAACAAGGCTGCTCACCTTATGGTGTCCAGGAGGCAAAGAGAGAGGAAGAGATCGGCTTCCCAATATCCCCTTCAAGAGCACAATCTCCAATGGAATAAGCTTCTTAAAGTAGGCCCTACCTTCTACCATCTTTCAGTAGTGCCACAGGCTGGGGAATGACCTTTTTATACATGGGCCTTTAGGGGATGTTAAAAATCTATAGCAAGCAGAAAAACTTCACTTTGATCATTTTTTAAAAATTGCGCTCTTCTGTTTGTTTTCATAAACCTCTGTAAGCTTTCCATTGAAACCCACCATGAAGCATCATCCTTGATTGGAATTCTCAGGGGAAAGAATATATTTCTTTGGATTTTCCTCCCTACACTCCTGAGTCACCAAACAAAAACTAGAGACAAAGTCTGCCAAAAGTGCTTATCATTTTCACATCCTGTGAAGGTGTTTCACAGATACTGATTATTTTTCAAATCACCTGGTTAATAGGAGCCAAGGACTGGCTGGTGACTAAACTTACCAAAGTATTTATGTTAGATGATGGAAAAAGGAAATTTCCTTTGTGAAATAAGTTAGAATTAGGTAACTTTCATGTCCCAATTTCTAAGTTTTTTCATTTGTTTCATACAGACAGGTCTGTCCATGGTTCTTTGTCAAGTAGCAGATTTCATTTTCTCTTTTAGAGTACATGACAGAAAAGAGCATATTTGGGCTACATTCATATTTCTACAATTTATTTTGTTATAATTGGTTTTCAACAAAAGCTCATCACTTGAACACAAGACTTACATTTATTCTTACATTTATTTTTTTCAAGACCCAGGACGGAACCCAGCACTTTATGCATGCTAGGCAAGAACTCTGCCACTGAGCTAAATCCCTAACCCCAGCTGTAATCTTTTGAGTTTGGGTGAGCTTGATATTCTACAAAGGAAAATGAGATCTGTTCCTGAGAACTCACACTAATATGTATGAAACAAACAGAAAACCATTAAAAAATGATGTGGAGGGGCTGGGAATGTGGCTCAAGTGGTAACGCACTTGCCTGGCTTTTGCGGGGCGCTGGGTTTGATCCTCAGCACCACATAAAATAAAATAAAGATGTTGTGTCCAATGAAAACTGAAAAATAAATATTAAAAAATTCTCTCTCTCTCTGTCTCTTCTCTCTTCTCTCTGTCTTTAAAAAAAATGATGTGGAAGTTATTTTCTTACTTCCAACCTTTTGCATGAAAGGAAATTTATTTCACTTAAAGGAATCAGGAAGTTTCTGGAATGACTTGAGGATGAGAAGACTCATGTGGAATCATGGAAATAGGGCTGGTTCCTTTGTGAATGATAAAGTTATCTTCAGGTATTATCATCCCTCTCTGACACTAAAACAATATTTTCAAACCTTCTCAATTTGATGGCTTCTAATCTGAGTGGCTTTAGTGGTAAGCATTTCTGATAACCTCCTTTTCCCCATGCTTCCTTGGTCAACAATGGTGGCAGAATTTGCCTACTTTGTTTAGTTGCTCAAGGGGGACCCCATGACAATGGTTACAAAGACTAAGTGCATTGTGCTTATAATAAAACTGATTTTTGAAAAGGAGGAGAAAGTGAGGTTGAGATGGGAAAACAGAGTACTCTGAACAGTTCTTTATACACTAAATTTCTATCTATTTCAGTCATTAGATTCTTGACCTTCCATAAATGGAAATGAGGGGAAAAGGCCCTTTACCATCTTTCTTCAATTACCACATGGAAGCTGTAAATGGGAATGGGTCACCAAACAAAAAGCAAACCTAGAGTTGAGGAAAATTTTACATAAGTGAATAGTATTTTTCCCTCTTTTCCATTCCTATCACCTCTCTCAACATAGATTTGCTTTTAAAATTGTTTACATCTTGAACAGTTTGCATTAAAGATCTTGTCAAAGAAATGCAGAAATTTCTACATTGTTGCCTGGATGTGGTGGCATATGTGGTGACAATTCCAGCAACTCAGGAGGCTGAGGCAGGAGGATCACAAATTTGAGGCCAGCCTCATCAAACTTGGCAAGACCCAGTCTCAAAATAAAATGAGCTTGGTTGTGGCTCAATGGTAGAGGACTTCTAGGTTCAATCACCAGTAGGATGGGATGATATAAATCCCAGGAAATTACTGAAGGAAGGAAAGAAGGAGGGAAGGAGGAAGGGAAGGAAGGAAGAAAGGAAAGAAAGGAGGAATGAGGAAGGAAGGGAGGGAAGGAAGGAAAGAAGGGAGGAAGGAGGGGAGGAAGGAAGGAGGGAGGGAGGGAAGGAGGGAAGGGAGGAAGGAGGGAGGGAAGGGCGAGGGAGGAGGGAAGGAAGGAAGGAA